CATCATTGAATTTACGCCTGTTTGCTCTAATGCGCACCTTAAACAGATATGATTTGTTAATCATATTGTCTATTTCCTCCGGCAGTTCAATGCTGCCAGAATTCTGCCAATAGAGACAAAAATATTATTATGTCGTTGGTTCCCATAATCTGTCTAAACCATTAATTAAAAAAAAATAATTAATTAATTAATTAATGCTTATCAAATACAGTTCACATTAATTATTAACGTGCCTTATCTCTTTAATCTAAATCCTCAATTATCTCAAGATCATTAATAATTATCTCTAAACCATTATTAATTATATCTAATTATTATCTATATGGCATTAACTTCGAGAAATAGGATTTCCAGTAATTAATTAATTAATGCTTATCTTGTCAAACAGAATTCCCTTTAATTACAAACGTGCTTTATCTCTTTAATTTAAATACTCACTTATCTCTAGACCATTATCTCTGAACTATTAATAATTATAACTAATCCATTAATAATTATTTCTAATTATTGTCTCTATACCATTAATAATTATATTTTTCTCCAAAAAATAGGATTCCAATTAATTAATTAATTAATGCTTATCTTGTCAAATAGAATTCCTATTAATTAGAAACGTGCCTTATCTCTTTAATTTAAATCCTTACTTATCTCTAGACCATTAATAATTATCTATAAAATACTAATAATTATCTCTAAAATTTTAATAATTATCTCTAATTATTATATCTATACCATTACTTAATAGTTATCTTTAATTTCGAGAAATAAGATTTTCACTAATTAATTAATTAATGCTTATCTTGTCAAATAGAATTTCCATTAATTACAAACGTGTCTTATCTCCTTAATTTAAATCCTCATTTATCTCTAGACCATTAATGATTATCTCTAATTATTATCTCTATACAATTAATAATTATCTTTAATTTCAGGAAATAGGATTTTCATTAATTAATTAATTAATGCTTATCTTGTCAAATAGTTTTCCCATTAAGTAGAAACGTGCCTTGTTTGTTTAATTTAAATTTTCTCACTTATCTCTAGACCATTAATAATTATCTCTAAAACATTAATAACTATCTCTAATTAATTAATTTTGCATTATCTATTTAATGTGACTTATCCACATATTTTCATTAACTTTTTAATTAATTATTAATTATTAATTCAGTTTGTTATTTTTCATCAATGAAGAAATTACAAGTTCGATTTTCAGTTTTGCCATATCTGCAGATTGTAGATTAATATATAACTGATATAGTATTAATTTAATCAAAATTCATTAAAAAATGAATATTAGATGATTGTAACGGAATATAAACAATTAAATGTACTTGTTTCATTTATTACTAATTTCGTAAAATATTTGTTTATATAATATTATATTTGAATTATTTGTTAAAATTTGTAGTAATTTAAATCTTATATAATGATATTTTACCAATTTCCAACTGTTATACATTAGGAGTATAAAATAAAATCAAATACAATTTTTGAGACATTGAATAATGAAAATAAATATGTTCAACTCATTTTATAAGGATAACGAAAATAATAACACTGAAATTTCTTAGAAAATTCTTGATTGAGCGACATGGAATGAAAATAAAATTCATAATAATCAAAACCCTAAATAATTTAAATATCTCCCGCTCCTTGATATTGTTGAGGAAAAATATCACCATTTTGAGGAAAGATCCCGCTGTATTTGATAAAACGTGTTCTTCCATGAAGCACAAGTCTCCACTTGTTAGTTATTATATCTTTCTTGCCATGATTAAATTCGACGACATAGTTGCTTATTGCATACACTTCGTCTTCCTTCAGTATACCTCGAAATGCTCCCATATGTTTAGAACGGATTATGCCTTTTATGAATGAACCCTACAATAAAAATGTGTAAATATGAAATAATATATTTCTTAAAATTATATAAATTTATAAATATTTCATAAAAATTTTTGAAATTATATAAATTTGATATTTCAAACTAAAATTTTTTACCTGTTCTTCATGAAACAGTATGCGGAATGCATTCCAATTCTCCCGTTGGTGATTCTCTTCAACTATTCGGTCTGCTCTCAAACGCAAGAAAGGTATATTTGTTCTATTGACGGAATCGAGTGTATCCCACACTGCCGGCATTATATTATCGTTGTTTTCTATTCACACTTTTATTTCTATGGATCGAAATTTAATGGAGATATTGAGGTGTGAAAGTGAATGAGAAGAAAGATTTTTTAAATGCTTTATGTTTGGTATGGACAGAAATTTAATGATGGAGTGAGGCGTGTATTATCTCTTATATATGGATAGGAAATTGAAGAACAATGACCGAAATTCTGTGGGAAAAAAATCTGTGGAAAGATATATTAGAAATTGTGAGTTATCTCTTATTGGAGTTATCCAATTCAAAATTTGAATTCAAATATGACTTTTCATTTAGACGCCCCATTTTAATCTCTTGTCTTAATGTAGGATTTAAAGAATTCTAAAAATAGAATGTCAAACTTCTTATTTTTCTAGTCAAAGTTTCTAAAAAAGTTAATTCCAACAACCTTTTTATATATAGATAGATATAGATTTCTTTATTTTGTTTGGCCTAGTAGGTTAGAGAAGTTGGTATGTGTGGTGGGCTAGAAAATAAGAAAAGGAATCTGGGCCAATTTTAAGATATAAAAGCTGAGAGGTATAAGTCAGTGGGCCAAAAATGGGCAAAATTAATATAATCAAGGTAGCTTCTACATATTTATTAAAAAAGGCGGGCCAGCCCGCGGCCCGCCAGGCCTACTCCCGCCAAAGCCCGTGGCCCGAAGCGGGTTGGCCCGTTTAGGCCGCTCCCCAGCAAGCCCTAATATCATAGCCCAGTCCACCCTTTTGGCGAGGCGGTGCGGGGCGGCCCACGGGCCTCAACCCATTTTGACAAGTCTAGTCAATTTACCGAGGTCTAAAGTATTTGCTTGATCAATATAAAATAATATTATCCTCATGTACATCCGTTCAATACAATGACAAGTGTATTCCATTAGTCGAGGACCAACTAATTCGAAGATCACACTTACAGTCTTTCATGATAGAAAGTTCAGCTATGTTAGACTGTGAACTATTATTTGTATTTTATAAGAAACCGATAATATGATCTTACTGTTTCAGACCCGAAACCATATTATCTAAAATATAAAATAAAGGAACAATGTTCACATATATAAATTAACTACGAACATTCACTTGACTTATACCACAAAGCTCATTGAAAATGGAATTGTTGAGTAAGTCAAAACTTATATTTTACAGTATACCCCCAACAATACAATCTCATGGTCGCTCGAATCACACTACATTATTTTCAATGTTTTACAGTTACATTTAATAAGAGAGAAGGGAATTAGGATTCTGGAGTTTGATTTGAAGAGTTCTGCGACGAAATAGCCATTACATGTTGTGCTCATACGACACCATGTCTACCAGCGTGGACACATCAATACACGTTTAATTCCATCAATGCCATGTCAGTTTTTTGCAACCGGAGCTGTGAGTCATGATTCGATTTGGAAAAATGGTAAAAGTGATGTATTAAATTACTAAATTACAAAGGTAGTGATTAAATTGGAAAATAGTAATGCATATAGAATTTTGCCTATTAACAATAATAATAATAAAACAGAGAGGCATAAAATTCCACTTTTACCAAAAAGCCACAGACAACAAGCTATGTACAGGAAGGTAAAAACAATTTGATAAATAAAAACCATGTTTTGAAAATCGGCCCGGACCAGCCGGTCAGGGAAGCGACCTTCCATCCGGTTCGGTTTGGACTATTAAACCGGTAGGCAATCGAACTGTCCAAGAACCATTTGAACCGGTCCAAAATCGATCGAACCGAAACCAGTTTGAATGGTTCAGCGGTTCTGGGTTTTGAACTTGTTAGGAGTTGATTGTGATGTCATTTAGAGCATCTACAATGCATTGGGTCTAGTCTTGCATATGTGGCACGTAAATAAACCCAAGTCTTGAATGACATGGATAAAACTATGTAAAATTAACAAAACTCATTCCAATGCAAAGAGACTAGGTCTCTGCTTGGGTCTAAAATGGACTTAAGGGTAGACCAAGTCTCTTTTTTGGCTGCCACATAAGCAGGACCCAGTTTACTTTTATTTGCATTGGAGAATAAATTTTTTTTAAATTGGGTCTATTTATTAGGTGTCATATAATTTTTTGGGATTGAACCTAAAGCATTGTAGATGCTCTTAAATAACACACTTTTTTTACTTACGTTTCCAATATGAGATGTGTTCACAAATAAATGTCATTGTTGAATATACTGGGCCAATAGTGAGCCTTACAAGCAAAATTGTGTTCATTAAAAGAAATGTACTATTTTTTATATTGAGCTATCTATTGAGTTATATCTATTTTTAATTTATTGAAAAAGAATGAAGCAATTTATTTTTATTTGTAATGCACATAATTTTTATTTTAAATTTTTAATCAATAATAAATAAACTTAAATATGATCTAAAAATTAAAATAGAGTTGTTTCTGTTTCCTATATGTTGTAACTTCAAATATATATTAAAATTTTAAATATAAAAAAATAAAATTAAAAAAGTTATCAACATTATTCAAAATTGTCGGTTTATTGAACTCTTATTTAGAAAACGACATACACGGTATAATTAATGATAAAAATATATAATTATATATTATGCATATAAAATAAATAAAATTTGTATATTCATTAAATCAGTTCAACTACTGGTCCGACCAGTGAACCATTGAACCGTAACTTTATCGGTTCAATGACTGGTTCGGTTTTAAGCACCATGCTAAAAACACCTAGGATCACCTCACAAGCCGAAAAAAAAAAATAAATAAATAAATAAATGTTGCAAAAAGCAAGAGTGATATCAACATACTGAAAACAGAGCTCACGGTCATGCATTTTTTCACTTGGAGTCTGTAAATGACTGCACACAAGAACTAAGATGAGACCTCTGTCATGTAAATAAGTTCGGGTAGGAAAAATATGTCTCATCATCCATTGATGCTAATCCCTGAGGAGACTTGTCAAAACTGTCATTAGAAGACACACTATCCCACTGAGGAGAGAAGGAATCGAAATCCCCTTTTCCACCATCATACGAGGGCTGAGAACTAATCTCACGAGGCACATACTCTTGCCCTGTTGTCGAACAAAGGGAAGTATCAGAATCTGCAAGCAGGCCACAAGAATTCAATCCATACTTCTCCCCCAAACATGACTCACATTTCTCGAGATGAAAAGGATTTTCAGTCTCGTCGTTGCGCTTGTTTTTCTCAACGAGCTCACTAATCCGAAGTCCAGCAATTCTAGCCGCCGAGCGTGCAGCCACTGCAGCACTCTCCGCGCTCTCGGCTGCCATCTGTGCTGCTGTCAACACATCTTGTAAATCTAAGTTGGTATTATTTGTGGTCTCTTTGACATCAAAACAGGCTGGAGCTTGTGATGGAAGATACATAAACGGCACAAACTGTTTTTCCTCCGCCTGACCAGTCGACTTCTCTTGCGAAACATTCTTCGGCACAGAGTATGACAGATGCTCGTTACTTTTGGAATCAACATTTTGCTCTTCTTGATCTTCCTCGTCATCAGAAAATGCGGATGCAGGGAAAGGCAGCATCTCGAGGACCGAGACATTGCCTTTATTAGGCTGTAATGACCGTTTAGGAACTTCTGAAAAATCTATGATCTCGAAATCTTCATCCGAATCCGAGAGTTCAGGGAAGGGAGGTTTTGAAGTAGCCGAATTTTTCACGTCATGCTTTTCTTCCGGAATGGGCAGTTTGAGAATTCTAGCTGTATGGGTCTGTCCATGCTGGAAAGATTGGTCAAATTATTTATTACAAGATGAGAAAATAGAAAATGCAACCAAGAAGCAGACACAGTGTGTGTGTGTGTGTGTGTGTGTGTTTGTTTGTGTGTGTGAGTGAGTGAGTGAGTGAGTGAGTGAGTGAGTGAGTGAGTGAGTGAGTTCTCACGAGTAAGTCTTCATGCGGTTTCAATAATTCACTTTCAGATGCAGTTGGATCCCAGTTGAGCTGATGCTCTTCAGCAATTTCCTTCAGAAGTTTCAGTTTAACATCAGCCGCAGGGGCTCGGACAGACAAAAGCTCAACTAGCTGTAATTTAAAGCTTTTAGCGTTAAGTGTTAAACATTTGCAACAAACTGAAGGTCAAAGATGTTGCAGGGGAAAAATTTTGTTCTGACCTGGCGATTCACACCACATTCAGGCATAAGCTCAGTTGCAGCAGAGACGAATTCATTACCATATTTAGCAGCAAAGATAATCCGCACCTCTTGCAGCTCCGGGAGATCAGCGTACCTTGGTGCCGCAAAGCATAAACTGGAAATAGCTTCTTTCAGGTCCAGAGGGCATTCCCTGTGGAAAGTGCACGACATGTGTATTAATCTTCATATGACAATTTGTCCTCGGAAGAGAATTATATTGCGTTTAAGGGAAAAATATACACAGATCAGAATAGTTGTCTTGGAATATGAGACTAAACAATACAGAAAGGAAATCACAGGATACATTACACTTACAAATATTGTACATACAAAAAAAAAAAAAAGATTTTTGAATATACATATTTATTCCCCAGAAAATATCTTGTTGATATTATTGGTGATGCTATCATCTAACAACCACTAGGTAACAAAGATACCAACAAGATAGCTTACACTTCTATGTGTTGAACTCAATCAAATATTTGTGCTGACTCCTAAGTCAAGCACCCATAACTTTTTCAGGATAAAAAGGGTTTGATAATTGTGAGTCAGAGAACTTTGCAGTGTTGAGTGTTCCTACTTTAAAAGTAAAGCCCAGGAATGTGCATTTGGAGAAAGCAAGACTAAGCACTAAACATTAACTTTCAGTGAATGAAAATGCAATGGAGAACACAAACTAACAAGTAATACTTATAGGCAAAGCCATATCAATCGTACATCATCCAACAAATACATGCATTAAAATGAGACATGTTACAATAGTTTTACCAACAAAAGAAGGACGATGATTATGCAAACACACGCAAACACACACACAAAAGAAAAAAACATCAATCAGCCCTATAACACTATCTGGATAAAAAGGTTTCAAAAGTTCACTATCAATGACTCATTTCCTGCATTATTTCTTTAACTGGACAATTCTTTCTTCACTCTTAAGACATGTAACAGGTCAAGATAGGGTTTTTATGTTATGAGCAAGACATCATGACTGAAGGATTTAGCGAAGTTTTTAATTAAGGATAATTAAGAGAGAAGATTCTCTATACTTTCAGAATGGGAGAAACTCAGGAAAGAAGTGAGTTGTTTAGCCAGACATTTTAAACACCACATACAAACCGAAAAGACCAGGTCGTTCCCTAGGTGATACTAACTACGCAAAAATCTTGCATGCTGCACCATACACCCTCAATTATTAAAAGATTTGCAAACCATCATGCTTGTTGCAAATAATTAACCTCGAGATTGAACGGTCCCTTTTGCTACTTAAAACAATGAAACCCATCTTTTAAAGAAGAGCATCCCACAAAAGAACAGAGAAACCAAACTGATCTTATTGTTGTTTCTTTCACAGAAGTTGTGGATGGAGGAAAGGAGCTCCTTTCTAATGTTCAAATCTCTTCGACAAACATTGTGAGTGGTAAGTGCCACACGAGTTACAGTGACCATGGTATTTGTAGTTGTCACTAATAATATTACATGCGACATAGCAATTTCACGAAAGACATAATAATACCTTTGTGCTTCAATAATTGGAAGGCGTGCGCTAATGAGCTCACTGAACAGTTCAACAATTTCTTGTGCCGCCGTCATTTTCTCTTCCCTTATGATGTGTTCTACCTGTGTACAAAAGAAAAGCTCGTATCTATTATGAACCAACAATAATACAAATTTGTATTCTTTTAATTTTCTATGCAAACACCACAAAAAAGGGGGAGGTAAGGAAACATAAAGTTTTGTTATACATACACGAATCCGAGCGGTGGCTTCCTGACCAGTCTCAAGGAGCTTCGCAATCTCTCGGCGCATCTGCTTTATCTGAATCTCTCTCCTATTCCTCAACAACTTTATTCGAGGGATTGTAAGTTTCAGTAAGGTTTTACTGCAATTAGCCACACAATAAAGCTACAATCAAAGCTCACAGTTATGACTGTCCTATTTCATTCACGTGATTCCCAACTGCGAAACATAACATAGAAATTCAGAAACGAATACAAGATACTTTAAAGTCACCATTTGTGTGATCACGATAACTTCATTCTAGTACGTTCGGAATTAAACATCCAGATATGACCTCAATAAACTATTCAAAAGCTAAACCGATAAAATCGTACAGAAACGGGAGAAAAACAATGAGAAATTACCACTTGGCGGCTTTGAAGCCTTTGCTGAAGAAAGAATCTAGCATCGCCATGGCTGAATATCTGAATTTGAAGTAGCGCAACTGTAATCAAATTGAGGTTTTTAATCCAAAATCCGTATTAGGGAGAAGAGGTAAACAAAGATAAGATCATATATATAGTTATATACATAAGAAATTTGCAACACGGTAATGAGTATGATAATGCGACGCGCATCAGCGCGGCTGGTCTCCTTAGTTTCGAAGGCTCTTCCCTTTTTTTTTTCAAATCAAAAGGCTCTTCCTTGTCGATGATTTGGTTCTTTGACAAAGGAAATTAGGAAATTTAATTACTATCTATTAAAATTGACAAGATGTATTTATTTAAAATCATAAGGTATCTTATTTACCAAATTTAGTAGGCTAAAAAATTAACTTAATTAATGCATTGCTATTTCTATTCAGAATTTTATATAATTATTTTATTTATTTGTCTTTCTAGTACAACACCCGTGTATTACACGAGTGCTTGTTAAAAAATTATTCTTAAATTTTAAAATGAATGAGAAGACTAAATTAAGTTTAGTTTACTTTTTTACAAAATAAATATATTACTATATATTTTAGAATGATATGTGTTACTTATGACTTACATGTGTTATATTATATTAGTTATTATAACTTATATCATATAACTACTTGAAATATAAATATATTAGTTGATAAATAATTTTATTTTTCTAATTAATATTAAAAATAATTTTATTATTGTTATAAAAATAAATATAAATTATTTTTTTTATACACACAATATGGATGTTAAATCGAAGTTCATCAAAAGAAGATTAATTTGATATATTACATATGTAAAACTGATAAAAAATACAAAAGTTATTAACTTTTAAAATATATATACAATCAATAGTTATAATAAGGAATGAAATTAAAATACAATTAATACATGTAACTGTTGTAATACAGATTGTCAATATAGAAGAGCGTAAGATAGATAGACAAAGAGAGAGAAAGCAGTAGAAGAATAGAGAAGAGATACGTCGTTAAAACCCTCATCTTATTTATTCACTTGAGCCCTATATATAAGGGAATACAATGTACATGACTAAAGACCTAATGGACTCCTGGCCCATACCTACAAAGCTTATATCTAGGTAATGTCCACAAATTAATATTTACAACACTCCCCCTTGGACATTACCTCATCATGTCTATGCCTCGTTAAAAACCTCGCTGCAAAACTCTGTAAGAAAAAACAGTCGAGGAAAAGAGTACATAACATATGCAAATTTATGTGTTACACATGCTGCCTTGTTAAAAACCTCACTAAGTAAAACCCAATGGGAAAAAAAACTTAGTCAAGGGAAAAAGAGTACAACACCGACCAACAGTGCCTAATCTTCAGGATTATAATTAACCTTCCG